GGTTGATACCGAATGTCAAACTCACCAAGTTCTACCGCCCATTTTGCTGTTCGGCCAGAGAAATCAGCTCGGCTGAATACAGATCTGAGGGGGAATTTAGTGAGGACGTTGATGGTATGCCCCTGGAAGTAATGTTGCAACTTTCTTGAGGCAATAAACAGCGTGTAAGCTAACCTTTCCAAGGGAAGATACCGTGTCTCGGCATCTAGTAAAGTCTTGCTAACATAGTATACTGGCCTCTGTTCCTTGTTAACTTCTCAAATTAATACTGCGCTTAAAGCATGATCTGAGACTGCTAGATATAGGTACAGCTCCTCTCCTGGTTCTGGAGTGGACAGAAGAGGTGGTGTGCTGAGGTATCTTTTGAGACTTTGCAGTGCTTCGGTACACTCGCAACTCTATTCAAATGCTACCTTTTTCCTCAATAGCTGGAAGACGGGCTTCATCCGGTCTGAAGATTTGCTGATGAACAGATTCAGGGCAGCCGCCATTCCAACCAGTTTTTGCAGCTCTTTAGCCTTTGTTGGTACTTCAAGATCTTGTATTGCTTTGATTTGATCCGGATTCACCTCAATTCCTCTGTGAGTGACCATGTATCCCAAGAACTTTCCTGTTCCTACCCCGAAAGCGCATTTCGAGGCATTGAGGTGAAGCTAATGATTTTTCAGGATGCCAAAAACTTCTCTCAAGTCTGCAAGGTGGTTTGTAACGAGCTTGTTTTTTACTACCATATCATCTATATAAGCTTCCATGGTTTTTCCAAGTTGGTCCTTGAACATCCGAGTGATCATTCGCTGGTAGGTTGCCCCAGCGTTTTTGAGGCCGAACGGCATTACTTTGTTGCAGTAAGTTTCCCTCGGAGTGATAAATGTTGTCTTCTACTGATCTGGGCCGAACAGTGGTATTTGGTGATAACCGCTATAAGCGTCTAGAAAACTCATACACTCACGCCCTGCTGTTGAATCCACTAGTTGATCAATGCGAGGCAGCAGAAAGCTATCTTTAGGGAAGGCTTTGTTTAAACAAGTGAAGTCAACGCAAACTCTCCATTTTCCGTTCTTCTTTTTTACTACAACTGTGTTGGACAGCCATTGTGGGTACTGAACTTCTCTGATTGCTCCCGATGCCAGGAGTTTTTCAACTTCGGCAATTACTGCTTCAGTGTGCTCAACTGAGGATCTCCGACTTTTCCGTACAACGGGCCGAGCGGAAGGGTTGATGTTGAGCTTGTGACAAGCAAATTCTGGGTCCAACCCTGGAGTATCATATGTTGATCATGCGAATACCTCCATATTTTCCCTCAGCAGTTCCAGCAGTTGAAGTTTCTCATCAGCGCCTAGCGAGGTACTGATAAGGAAGTACTTGTCTGGATCATCCTCTTTTACCAGGACTTTCTCTATATCCTCTACCATCTTTTCCTCTGGGGCTTCCCCTACATCTTCCAAGACTGGTTGTTCGGCCATTTCCACTGTCTGTACCTGGTTGCAGAGTTGCTTTGCCTTTAGTGCCGCCATGAAGCAATGTTTGGACGCAACTTGATCTCATGAGATCTACTTTACTCCGTGCTCCGTTGGGAAACGGATGAGCTGGTGGTAGGTTGAAGGGACCGCCTCCATTTAATGAATCCATAGGCGTCCAAGTATGTCCTTGTAAGGGGATGGTGTATTAATAACTAGAAACTCTATCTGGAGGGTTTTTGTTCGTGCCACAACTGGCAACACTATTCTGCCCAGCAGCCATTTTGGCTGTGAATTAAAGCCAACTAAGGGGCTGCCGCTGGGGTGAGGTGCTGCTCGAAGAGACCAAGCTTTCTGAACAAGTCATAATACAATATGTCTGCTGCACTGCCCTGATCTACCAGGACTTATTTTACGTCAAACCGTTTCCCAATTCCGACAGTTATAATCAGTGCATCAGTATGTGGGTGTTGTATGCCTTCTAAATTCTTTCTAGTAAATGAAACAATACACGAGGGGGATTTGGGTACCGTGCATACTTTTTTCGATGCGGGCTCTACTGACATGACCTACTGAATTTGCACAGCCTTAGCAATCTCTTCTTTCAGTGCCTCTTCACGTCCCTGGGTAGCTGTTCCATGGATCACATTTATTATCAGCCGAGGTGGGTGCTCAGTATTCGGTTCTGGTGGTGGGTTCCCCGGTTCGGTCACTTCCTTATCCTGATCAATGTAATCCCGGAGGTGCCCAGCTACTACTAAGTCCTCTAAATGTTGCTTCAGTGCCCTGCAATTCTGAGTCATGTGCCCCCTATCTTGATGGTAGGTGCATCTGAGCTTCTGAATGCGCCGAGCCGGATCTCCCAACATTTTCGGTGGCCAAACAAAGAAGGGCTCTCTCTTGATCTTTTCCAGGATTCAATAGATCGGTTCTTTGAATACAGTCACGACGGCTTCGTGAGATTTGGACTTATCCACCTCATCCACCGTGAGCCCTCGGTGTTCTCCTCGATTTGTTCTCTTCTTGTGCCGAGCTATTTGTTCTGCTGATGCTACCTCGATGGGGATCTGATCATCTTCGAGGCAAGCGTACTGCTGAATCCTGGCACGCAAATCTTTTAATGTTGTGGCCGGGCGCTTGGTAAGTGATTGTCTCAACTTACTTTCCGGGCGCAGACCATATTTGAAAGACATAACGGCCATCTACTCACTGCACACGTTTTCCTCCAGGTCATTGTACTCTTCCCAGTACCTCCTAGCATAACTGTGCAGCATTTTTTCCTGCTCCTTTTAGAGATCGAACAGTGTATCTGGCTCTTTCGGGATCTTAGTATTGGAGATGAACCTGGCTAGGAACTCTTCAGAGAGCTGCTTCCAGCCATGAATTGATCTAGCGGGGAGCCTATCGAACCATCGAAGTCCAGTTTCTCCCAAGCTGGATGGGAAGACTTTACACATCAGTGCCTCATCTCGGCTCCATAGAGACATCTGTCTGTAATGGCTAATATGCGTCAGTGGGTCCGACTTCCCATCGTACGAAGTGAACTTTGGTGGGGTGAATTTCTTTGGAGGTCTCATGGCCTCAATTTCCGGGGAGAATGGCGAGGAGACGAGCCTATCCAGGGCTCGGTGCTCTCTCTGGTGAACGGTACGGTCCAGATGATCCCGATGTTGCTCGTTCTGCTTGTTGCCGATCAACCAAGTACGAAGGTCTTGAGGAGGGTATTCAGTCTGTTGGCTAACCGTCTTCTGCCTTTTAGCCCTTCTCCGGCGTGACCCACGAGCGTGGCTGCTCGCCGCCTCACTCTGTACCGGGATAGGCTGGCTTTGTTGTCCAGACTCATTTCTGGGGAACTTTTTTACTGGTGGCTCTCTGGATGAGCTCTTTCGTCACAAGCGAGAGGGCTCTGCTTCAGTCTTCTTTTCCGTTGGATCACCCAACACCTTTTTAAGTTGGGCTTTCAGCTCCTGTATCTCCATCCCCATGGAGTCTATGATTCGATCTCTGTAATCATTTTCCAGAAGAAAGTGATGAGAAGAACCTCCAGCGAAGGGTAATCGATGCTCGACGGATTCAGGGGTCCGATTATTGTTTCCAATTTGTTCTTCTAGGACTGTTGGGAGTGCCAAGCCTTTGTCCTTTGTCCTTTGTCTTCTCCGTCTGTGGAGTATGTGTCAAAGGTGGGATGTCCTCAATCCCCATCGCCGGAACTGAGTGCAGAGTTTAGAGACAAAGTGATCCACGCACATCGCACCAATTGTGCGTACCGGATTCCGCACTAGATGAAAGTGGATCGGGACTCCGCACTCGGTTGGACTATCCAAGGATTGAGGTTCCTGCCATAAGAAGCACCGTAAGAGCTGCCCGACTGGGGTTGGCCGGATGACCCCTCCGGTGTGGGAATCAGTGATCGGAGAAGAAGTGTAGTGAGTTGAGTTTGTAAGTAAATGGGGTTCAGCTTGGAACAGTTCAATTACCTTCTATGTGAAGTTCATGTAGTATATATAGGGTTCCTTGCTTGCTTCTCAATATGGTTTCATGGAGCTTTGGTGCTGCCAAGTTTCCTTTTAGCCTTGCCCAGCGTGGGAGGCCACCTGGTAGTTGTCATAGAATGCATATACTCATTGTAGTCATGCTGATAACAAACTACATTCCTTTGGTTTAACTGCCTCCGTGATTCTAGGTGTTGGGGACCAGCTAAGGTGGCAACTTGCACATGCATATCCTCATGGCTTCCACGTTTCTCTGTGAGGTTCCCTCAGCTTGGTACCTTCGTGCCCAAGCTCGGTACCGTTGTACGTCGGCTCGGCCTTTTACAAGATCGTTTATAGAGATGGGCTGGTCCATTCGGATATCTTTGTATGGGCTCGGCCCACTTTAGTTCGGCCTATTGATTAGGTCTTGCAGCTCGGCCCAGCCTAGCATCGCGGCTGGACTAGCCTTTCCACTGCGGGTTGGGCCCAAGTGCTTGAGGACTTGGATAGACTGTTGATTATGGAGTTGGGCTCAATTGGCTTGCCCATAAATTCATCTAACCCGCTTGGATTTGGGCTTTAGTGGATTGGGCCGGCCCAAGGCTTGGATCCGACCCATTTCATATTCAGCCCCTTCAATTATCAATGAAGAAATTTTCTATTATTTAAAACCAATGAATAAATAATAGATAACACAAGTAAGACCATGAGATGATTGTTCACAGTCCCACCTTTGAGCTTGCGGTTTAAAGAAGAAGAAAAAAAAATGTCTCAATATATGTTGTATGTGCAAAACTGCCATGAAGAAAATAATAAAGGATGGAAAGCATTTCAGCGCAACAAAGTTAGATGTTGAACCCTGATGGTCTATGGATCCAATGGAGAAACCCTACCAGCCCCTAATTAGCATAGAGAAACATTCTTAACAAAATCTAAGCAAAAGAGGCAATGTCTCAAAGCATATGAGATCATCTTCATACAAATCAACATTTAGGCATAGCCAACAACCTAGTATAGAAAAACTAGTGCAATGAATGCATAAAATTGCACATGAGCAAGGATAACATACCTTTGAAAGAGAGGCACAACTTAAATCATGGCCTAGTTTTGCATCACTACTACAAAGTTGCAGTTTTAAATCATACTCCACCCTGCAAAATTTAGGAGCAATACAAAAGAAGACATAAGATTTAACTGTATTTTCTTTATTCACATCAATGAGTTCTAGGCTTTGCATCTCAGAAGAATATAAATTATATAATTGACTCTACTATAAAGGCAACTAGATGGGTTGCAAGACAAGAAAGTTATAATACAACATGAATGAAAAGCTTGTAAGAAAAACAATGATAATGTCATATGATTACAAATGGTTGTGCTTGTAAGAAAAGAGGATTTGTTTCAACTGAAAGGCTTAGAAAAGAAAAGAGCTGAAAAGAACATAAGCTGCTTACAAAATGCATGACAGAGACTAAGTATAGGGAATTGATGCAGAGTATCCCAAGGAGAAGGAAATCAAATATGGCAATATGACTTTTGTATGGAGTACTTGGGTCCTAGTTTAATTTTTAAGTACAATACTAAATCTTTACGATTAGTCATTACCATTATATCATTATTTATGTTTTATTAAATCGTAGGAGTGAAATAATTTTGTCAATTTTATTATTTGATTGGGGTAATTGATCCATTAGCAGGAGTTGTGGAGCCTCATGGGATGGGGTTGTAGAAAAGTATTGTGAGGGTACGAGTTGAATTTCCATTAACTTAGTACAATGTATTTATATATACACACACATGCAACTTTTATATTAAATGAAGTTGAATTTTGAGAATTAGTGATAGTTTTTTAAGCTTTGTGTGATGTTTGAAGCAACCTTACTGGAGAGCAATTACTAAAGAAATCTAGATGGATGAAGTTTTATGAGAAAGTAAAAAATTCTAGTTTTTTTTTTTTTTTTTTTGCAGGAAATTATAAAATGATTCCTACTTTCTTGAATATTTTTCTTTTTCTTAAAAATAAAACCCAAAAAATATAGATATTCTTCTCTGTCCTTTACTTTCTAGGACTCTCCACCTAACCAAATTGGGCCTTAAGCACCTATCCGGATTCAATTTGGCCCCTACATAGCATAGTTGTATCCAAAATTTCCTAGCAATTAATTCTCTAAATTGTAAATCTTGCCACTTCCAATCTATGTCCATCTTGAAACCGTAAAACCTATCTTCTATCTATCAAAACCCTAAATCCACAAGTTTTTAATAAAGTATGCCACCATGAAACCACTCATAGGTAGAATTTTCAAATTTTCTAAAGTTGTCCTTCATCAATCTGGTATCAAAGCATGTAGAAGAGTGTTCCCAAGCACTTGTCCTTCATTAGGAATTAAGCCTGTCTATCATATGGTAGTGCTAGGCTAAGCCTGCAACTTCTTGGGTGCGGTGCATGAATAAGAAAGTAAATCAATTTTTAGGAATAGTCTAATGGGAAATTCGAATGATGATTTCAGGGTAAGGGTTGATGTAATTGTGCAAGGGTCATATTGGTTGAGTTTTATGCATGAAAAAATAAATAAACCTAGTGGCATCTAAAATGGACAAATGTATAGGAATTTTTCGACAAAAAGGAAAAATAAAAGGTTTAGGGCTTAAATGGTAGCCTACTAGGATTCTATTATTTACAAATCAAGGATAACTAGAATTCTATAATGTATAACCAAAGTTTACAGTGTTTGTATTAAACTATGGTGACTCGAGATAACAACCTTGGAATCTCTTCTAAGTTCTGCTATATTTCTCAGCTAAAAGGGGCTATGGGAGTCTCACTGTCAAACAAATATAAACACTTGTACAGGATTTTATTGTCAAAACTTTATTCCTAAAATATCTCTACATTGCTTGCTTATGTGGAAGCACAGTCAAATCAAAATACAAATTTCTGACATTTGAAACTTTCTAATTAAACAATTTATAGGTTAAGAGTCTTGTTTCAAATAACCAAACAGCCTACTAATCCTAGACATCAATCAATTGCATTTTTCACCATAGACGCCAGAGTTAAAAACATTAGGAGCGTCACCAAACTGTTTTACACCATTACCTGGGGGGCTTTGCTTCATGAGTATCTCTAGTAGCCAAATCATGGATTTTCTGATGACCATTAGATGGTGATGCAAAATCGGCATGCACCAATAAATATTAGGGGTTTTCTAATCTAATTAGGGTTAGTGATTTATAAATATTATGTTTTGGCATTATATTATTCAGGTTTCAATTAATAAAGATTTGAGTATTAAGGTTGTAACTCGTGTTTCTCTTATCTTTCTTTTCTCTTTTCTTTCTCCCTCTTAGTTATACATTAAATGGTTTAATACTTTGTTTAAGATCACACTTCATAGGGTACAAGATCTGTTCACATTTAAATGAACTAAGAAAAAAAAGTGCTAGAATTTCCAGACATGAGTAGAAAACTACAGGTTTTAGGGCATGAATAGTAGATTATTAAGGTTACATTTTGTGCTTTATGGGTTAGGATTTGGGAGGCTAAATAGTTGAGGCTATTAATGGGGATAAGGACTAAATGGAGCCTGAAGAATGTAAAGCTCAGCAGAAAAAATCTATTGATCAATCTTATTTTTCCACATCCCTAGACTTACGGGGCATGACATGAATGGTGGATAACTAAGGTTACTAACATCATTACTAAGTCCTACATTAGTTTCCTACCTTCATACGTTGTTTAAACTTCAAAATCATGAGACATCACATATTTGACTTCACAATGGAACCAGAAGAGATGGTGAAGTTCAAGCAAAAAAAACAAAAAACAAAAAATAGGAATACCTTTGCATTGTCAAAACTGAGGAGCTCTCAACCACCCTCTTGTCAACTTCATTGGAAGTATTAGATTCAATAACATCACCACCCTCTTGAGATGGCTTATCCTTACTTTGAAGCAAAACATCTATCAACTCAAGCGGAAAGGGGAGGGGGGGACAAACAAACAAGCAAATTAGATTAACTAATAACCGGGGTTGTTTTATCACTAAATTCTACAGAGAAGCTGAAACATGACCAATGTATTGAATTCCTTACTAGCATGTCTTTTCTTGCAGCCATGTTCACAACACATCACCAAAAAGCAAATGTACCCAACACTAGAGTGCGCACAAATTCCAAAAAACCTTCCAGTAAATATGAAAGTTGATACATGATGAAGTAGAAATGGAATATAAAAAGGAAACTTTACCGAACACCTTAGCCTTCCTTGCCCATGATCTGAGCAGTTCTTTGTATGTATGGCCATTCAATCTGCTCCTTCTTAGTCTTTCACAGATAGGCCTCAGGCCTTGCTTGTCATGTTTGACCAATTCTTTAGGATCAAGTTTTGACTGCTTCCCACTCTTCGCCATCTTCATATTTTCCTTTCTAATGCCCAAAAAACTTAACCCTGGCTCAGATTTCTTTAACACTGAAATAGAAGAAAACGAGTATCCCTCATGTCTACCAAACCTCAACGATCTTGACTTTTTTCTTGTCTCAACTATTTTCAGTGATCTCTTGGCTGGCGATTGCATCTGCTTTTCCAGTTGCTTGGTCATTACTCCATGTGAAGGACTTAATGTGACCAGAGTCTCCAAAGCCGTTTCACTTGTTGTTCTTCTTGAACCAGATAAATCCGTTGTTGCATATCCCAAAGTAGTCGAACTTTGGCTACTGATGCACTCCATGTTTAAGCTGCTGCTATTATCATCAATATCGCAACCAGGCCTACTATCATTTTCCATATTTACAACTGCAGATAATCAGAAATTTATTAGGCTAAAAATAAATTTTAAAAAAATTAAAAAAAACAATGCCCAAGACCATGGGAATTGGGAAAATATTCTGGACAAACAGTTATCCCTTTCCAACAAAAAAATAACAACAAAAGAAATAGGTAAACTCATTTTGGCTTAACATTTCAATTGAGAAAGCTATACAATCGAATGTGAGGAACAGAACAGTTTAATGCATAAACAATATCTGCAAGCAAGAACAGCAAATGGTAGTTTCAGATTGCAGGTAAGAGCCGTTTGGGTATAAAACATCAACCGAGTAATAATAACATCTAAGTGAGTTATGCACTGAAAACAGCACATGAAAGTCACATTTTTACATGGCAAAAAGTCATGTATGTCAAAGAAACTGATCTTTAAAATAGCCAAACAGGATTCTCACAATCAGGATTCAGGACTAGGAGTTTATAAAATTCACAATGCATGCCTACTTCTGTCAGCTGGTATAAGAAGTTAATTTCTGTCTATGTCAGCTTATATGCAAAACAGCAAGCAACAGAAGCACCCAGCTTCACCTCCATGTACACAATTTTATTCTTCCAGCAACAGTAAATTTTTTAAAAAAATAAATAAAAGGGAATTCATAATCATTAAACAAGGAACCCAAATTTGAAGCACCCATATATCTGAAAAATACTGTACATCAATTGAACACATGCTTTCAATAGATGTATCATCTCCTTCCAAAAGCACAAAAAAGAAGTTCCCTGCATGCAAAGTTATATTTTTCCCCTTCAAATTCTTCTCATATTTTACAAACAACAATCCAAGAGAGCAGGTAATTCAACATAACTTTTACTGAAACTCCATCTCATAAAACGTGCTAGATGCCACTTAATGAATTAAAGTTCACAAAGACAGCATCATCAAATTGCAATTCATCTAATTCTTGCACATGACTTGTGGTGTACTCGATGCCCCTTGCTCCAGCCCCATCTATCTTTTCCCTTCTAACTTCTGCAATGGCCCATTCCCATGTTACAACTTACAACTACAATACTTCAAAAACTAAAGAATTTGATTGCTTCTCCATCCTCTTATACAAATCAGTTATTCTACACGTACATAAACCAATCACATAATTAGACACAACCCTTGTGAGAGGGTGCGGTACCCAGAAAAGGGTGGGTTGTGGGACCCAGAAAAGGGTGGGACTCACCTCATGTGAGAAGGTCGTATCCGATTCTGTGATCGGTATCTGATTCTGTGATCAGTTTTTGTGTTCCTATACTTTTTCTATACAAATAGCCAGATGCTAAAACACATCTGAAAGCAACCAACTTGTTAAACCTTCCATGAACTTGTGTGCCCTGCATGTTTAGCCTCAATCATTTGAACTGGCTAGCTTAACGAGGAACTATTGTGAGGGATAAAATAATTGAACTGGCTTAGCTTCCTCTTGGGCTTCAGTAAACCCTCATTTTAAAGGAATTCCACTGTTTTTGTTAGCTAGAAATTGGGTGTCGATGTGGGACATGTAGGAGTTTTGTGGATGTAGTCTTTCCTTTGTTTTCTTATTTGTAGAGGATGCCTCATCCTCGTCTTTTTTTTGCATTGTCCATCAAAAAAATATAAAAGAAAAATTGTTGTTAATAAAAACAAAAATGCGTGTGTACCCATCACATGCAACAACTATTACTATCACAAACCCTGTTTTCTACGTGAACTGAAGAGAGGGAATGAAAACTAAACAAAACTATCACGCAAACAACAAAATAAAAGCACAAAATGTATTTGAAAAAAATGACAAAGGCGAAGAAGAAGCTTACCAAAATAATAAATAAATAAAATAGACATTTGTGATTAAAGGGAAGGCAAATCCCTTAATTACCATTTGGTCAGAGATAAAATGGAAGCAAAATCGAAAGAATTCAAACATTATTCATTTTCCTTGGTCCCCCACCCCAGAAAGGGAAACCACTATTTGGCAATATGGGTAAGTTAAACTTTTCCATTTCCAACAAAACCCAAAAGGATAAAATGGACCCTTCATTTTTTAATATGTTTTTTTACTTCCCTTTCCTTCAAATTTTCTCGGAAACCAAACAGGGTTTGACACTAGCAAGAAAGCCAACCCATAAGCTGAAATGCGTCCATGAAACTTCAGTCCTGTGCATAAATGCATGGGAGTCCAAAATTACCTCAAAATATTTTGCATGAAATGGGTAGTGCCACTTGCAAGGTGTTTCTAGCCCAAGGAAATTTTCTTTGCAACCAAACAATCCAAGAGAAAATGCTGGAGGTCTTGAAATTTCATGAAAGTGATTTTTTGTGTTTTTTGGTCTGTTCAGGACTGGTGGTAGAGGTGGGACGATTGCACTGTTTTGCTTGACAAGTTATTTGGTGGTCCTGGTCACACCCACGTGGTACTCCAGTTGAATTGTGATTAGTTGAGGGGATAAAATTCACTATTTTGGAAAGGCATGATGAATTGTGATTAGTCAATAACACATTTATGTGGTGCCCCTTGAACACGGTATAATTTTTTGTTTTGCTCCGAGGGCAGTGTTCGTACAATGCTCCACAGCTAATAAGCATGATGCAAAGACAAACCCCCGCCTACGACCATCTCCAACCCTTCGTCAAATTTGCCACAAATTTAAAATTTGGTAAAAAAATTTTTTTTATACTCCAATAATTACACCAAATTAATATCAAATTAAGATTTCATCAAATAAATCATCAAACTGATAACAGAATACATGTTTCACTAAATTACTGTGCGTGACTGTTAAAGTAGAAAAGCTTCAGAATTTTACACTTGGGTGTCCACCTGGTCGACTCCTTGGTCGACCACCCAATTGACCAACTAGTCGACCAGTGTATGCAAAATTGCCCTATGAAGGTAAGTTCAAACAGTTCAAAAAGGTAAAAAAAAAAATTTGACTTTACCGGTTGACCCACGGAGGTAGGTTCAAACAGTTCAAAAAGGTTTAAAAAAAAATAAATAAATTGGGCTTTACTGGTCGACCAACCGGTTGACCCACAGGATTTTGATGCACCGTTAGAACCACTGATATCAAATTGAGAAAATGATTCATTTTTTATCCAAATTTGGTGAAAAAATAAGTTCAGGGTTGGAGATGCTCTAATAGGAGGAAAGGATTGTATTTTGTAAAAAAAAAAATTACAATTTTACCTTTCAAATTTTTATCATCGTTTTTTTAACTTCAATTTTTTATTAAAATACCATAAACTATTAGTAGATTAGATTATGGCGAGAGGGCCCTAATGACTTTATCAATTCGAATTATAAACTTCTAATATTATCTGATCACAAGAAATATTAGGATAATTATTCTGTCCAACATCATCACGTTAACTAAAATAAAATATATAAGAAAATACTTTGAACTCTTAAAATATCACCCTTGTATATTAGATTATAACAAAAGGGTCGTAATGACTCTTGTTTGGTTTTTATTCTTGCCAATCTCGTTTGACAAAACTGCTTTCAGTTGTAATTGTATTCAATCTTTTATTTTAGTAAAGTTATGAGTTTTAGATACGAATTCAATCTGAATTGTGCCTATGCAGAGGAGTTTGTGATCTTAATCCTATCATGTTTGCCACATAGCTGACTATGTCGGGGATCCAGAGGGCAGCGCCCCTTGGCGGGTCCGGGGCAGCGCCTAGGCGGGGTCGAGGGGAAACACCCCTGAAGCAAAAGGTAAAATTACAATCGAAGTTGTATTTCCGCTCGAGTGGTCATTCTTGCGCTAGAGCAGAGATCATGACTTTTCAGAAGTTTCACTCGCCTGCAAAAAGTATTAGGAGTTGTTTTTTTCCGCTCGAGCGGAGATCGCGGCCCTGTTTTCTATAAATATGTGTTTCAGTCCGATTTAGGTTTACGGCTTTCAGATCTTCTTCTTGGGTAGTAGGGTGTTCTTCTAGAGTTTCTTTGCTTGTTTCCTTTGATATTTGTGAGAGTTTCAATCATGAATTGAGTGGATTATATCAAAGAGTTTGATTGTTTTATTTATTCAATACAAAAGAGAGAATTGTTTTTCGGTGGATTATGGAGAATTTAGGCCTGAAGCTTTGGTGGATTCTAAAGTGGCTCATTGTCGTGGATTCGACATCGGCGTTATGGATTCAACGTTGTACAAGACAATTCCAAGGTGAAGACGAGGCTAGAAAAGGTACATAGGAGTCGGTTCGATTCAAGCATAGATTTGCTAGGTAATTGAAAGTACACTTGTGTAATTCATTTTACGTCTTATTAATGGATTGTTTTGTAACTTTTACCCGTGATTTTTTTTTATCACAATTTGAAGCGCTTCAATTGTGATTTTTCCACGTAAAATTGTTGTGTCGATTTGTCTTGATCGTTTAATTGAGATTGTTATTTATTACTTCAAATTGATACATAATCACAAATCAACATCTAGGAGATTTTTAGATTTTTCAACTCTATCAACTCGAATTATTAACCTCTAACATTCTAAAATCACAAGGGATATTAGGATAATTGTTCCGTCCAATATCATCACATTAACTAACATAAAATATATAAGAACATACTTTGAACTCTTAAAATATCACCCTTATATGTTTGGATTGGGTTGGGGTGGGGTGGGGTCTATTTTTTTGATATGCACTTGAGCGCTTGACTGAACCATAACCATGACCACCTCTCTTGGACGGTCTATTAGATGTGTTCTCATGATGGAATGAACTAAGGTGGCGCTTCTTCTGTTGTTCTGCTAACTTCATTTCTATGAGATATTTCTCAACTGTTAAGGCTTTATCAACTAAGGTTGGATTGTTAGTTATGCATTTCATAGTCATTAGTGATGAAATGGTTCAAGTTTCCAAGGTCACTACATCCCTTGATATGAGCTTAGGATGTCCTAGTAAGAGTTAGGGGCATTCCATCTGCATGCCGTCGCATGGGCCGTCGCAAAAGGTCTTTTGCGACTGTATTTTTATTATTTGCGACGGCTTGTGACGGTCGCAAAAACTATTTTTTTTAGTAGTGAAACTAATATAATAAGCCTGATACGGATGCTCTTAAGTATGTAATCCAAAAAAGAAAATGCTATCCAATAGCCAGAACACTTCTCTAGTGTCATTCAATTAACTGTCATTGAAGTCATTACATTATATTTTTAGGTTTACAATATTTATCAAAATAACTTTCACGTAATAATATATAAACTGTAACATCATATATAATATTAGGGAGTCGCTATTCCACTCTACTTTGTTCTAAATACACTCTCTTCTTTGTCTTTATTATACATAATTACTAAAATAGTTCAATAATTGATGTATATGTGCAAAAGTAAAAAAAATATATATATATATATATATTGTGGCTTTGAGACAGCTTCATATATAAATAGTCACAAAATGGTTTAAATAAATACAACGGTATTTTTCTGTCACAAAAAAAAATTTTAAAAAATGTGTCGTCTTACTCTTTTGATATAACATTTCTTTTTTCACCCATTTTTTCGTCTTCCTATCTCTCTGTCTTTGTCTCTCTTCTCTTTCTCTCTCTCACTCATCATTCTTCTCTGTCTGTCTGTCTGTCTGTCTGTCTCTCTCTTTCTCTCTGTGTCTCTGTCTCTGTCTCTCTTCTTTTTCTCTCTCTCACGCATCACTCTTCTCTGTCTGTCTATCTATTTGTCTGTCTGTCTGTCTGTCTCTCTTTCTCTCTATGTCTCTCGCTCATTCCTCTTCTCCCTATCTCTCATCTCTCTTTTCTCTCTATCTCTCTTCTCTCTTTGTCTGTCTCACTCATATCTATTCTCTTTATCTCTCTCGCTCTCTCGTTCATCTCTCTTTGTCTCTCTCTCGTTTATATTTTTTCGCTCTTTCTATTTCTCTCTCTCTCTCACATCTTTTGTTTCTCTCTTTTTTTGTCTCTCTCTTTCTCACATTCATCACTCTTCTATCTCTCTTTCTCTCTCTATCTACCTATCTGTTTATCTGTCTATCTGTTTGTCACTTTCTCCCACAGTGTTCGTCTTGCTCACTTTCTCCCCCACTCTTCTCTATTTACCAAACTTTCTCTCGATTTATCGAGATCCACTACAAGAAAATGCACTTTTAGCGACCACTTTGTATTTCTCTCGATCATCACTCTATCTCTGTATCTCTCTTTTTTATCTATCTCTCACTCATTTTTCTCTCTCACCACTCATCTCCTCTACCACATTCACCACTACTGCAAATGTCATTCCACTACCACCACTGCTACCACTGTCGCCACTCCACCTCTACAACTACCATTACTACCACCATTGCCAACATTCCACTACCACCACCACCACTACTGCCACTACTACTACCATTGTCTCTCCTTGACAACCGACCTCATGTATTCTAAAGCATTATCAAAGCGAAAAACTTTAATATGTTCGCCAAACTGAATAACAATTTCATTACAGAACCGTAAAATAACTTGAGGTAACTTAGACCTCTGTTTTATAAAAAAACAACCATGTCATTCGAGAAAAATCATCCACAA